TAAATATTGTATATGTTAACGTCACAAAGAAAAAAGGGTAATAATTAAATAGAAGGGCCAAAATTACTAAGGCTTACAAATATGATTGCCTAACTGGAAGAAACTAAAAATATCAGATTGAAATGTATTAAAATGATTAAGGATGTACCACAATAGGGCCATGAATTGTAACCATTACAAAAGAAGAAGCTGTAATTATAAACTAGAACTATTAAGAAAGAAGTTCTATTGATGTTATGTAATAAACACTGGGACATAAAAATATATAAATTTAACAAGACTTAGCTGAAGAAAACTACAAAACTTGACTAAATGGTATAATTACGTGCCCAGCATGCTCTTGGATGGAAGGACTCACTGTTGCAAAGATATCATTCTCTCCCATAAATTAATCTATAAATTTATCATTTTATCAAAATTAAAATGGGAATATTTCTTAACTTGACAAAAATTGATCTGTACTAAAATCATATTTATTTTTATGGAAACAGAGAAGAAATGTTCACAAGTAATTAAGGAGCACATGTTTTAGGGCACATTAAAAGATGCAGTGATTTAACCCTTAATATGATTAATTAATATGATAATTAATATGATAATGGTGCACACACTAACAGGATTATGAAAGAAAATTGAGATTTCTGAATCAGACAGACAAAATGGAATCTAGCATATGTTACAGGTGAATTTTAAATGCATAAAAGGAATAATGTATTATTTATTAAATGGTGCTGGGAAAACAGGCTAAATTTGGACAAAATAAAATTAGATTCTGATCTTATAGCTTACGCCTAAATACTTCTAGAGGAGTTCAAGGTTTGAATTTAAAAAATGCAACTTAAATGAGAAAAACTTAGAAAATATGTTTGTAGTATAGGAATAAAGAAGGCCACTTTAAGCTTGACATCAAATTACAGCTAGGTAAGAGGAGGAATAAGTTCTAGTGTTCTATAGCACTGTAGGATGGCTATAGTTAACAATAATATACAGTTTCAAATAGCTAGGAAGATATTGAATATTTTCAACACAAAGAAATGATAAACATTTGAGATGATGACTATTCTAATTACCTTGACCTGATAACTATATATTATATGTAACAAAACATCACTATGTACCCCATGAATATGTATAATTATTATTTGTCAATTAAAAAAATTAAATTAAGTTGAAATGTTTAAAAAGGGCAGCTAAGAGCCAAAAAAAAGAAAACTAGGGAAATACTTTAAATATATATGAAAAATAGTCTCCCTAATAAAGAATAATGTTAATATATATTAAATTATTTAAAATGTATAATAATTATTAATACTATTGTTAAAATAATATTAATACTATATATAGCAAACAAAAGTGAAAGGGGAAGGGAGAGATATGCTAAATTATACAAAATTACAGGTAGATAGGAGGAAAAAGTTGTAGGTTTCTAGCACTGTAGGATGACTAGAGTTAACAGTAATGGATTATATAGTTTCAAATAGCTAGAAGAAAGATATTGAACATTCCTAAAACAAATGATAAATGTCTAATGTGATAAATATACCAATTACTCTGATATCATCACTATATTTTATATATATCAAAACAACACTATGTACTCCATAAATATGTACAATTATTTTTCTCAATTTGAAAAATGGAAAAGCAAAAGAAAAGAAAAATGGAAAAGAGGATATAGAGACTCCCCAAAAGGTAAATGCAAATAGCTTGTAAACATAGGCAAACATATTCAAGCTTATTAATAAATTAAGAAATATAATTTAAGAGAAAAAGGATATTTTTTCTTCCTCAAAATTAACAAAGGGTAAAAATAATAATAATTAGATTATCAAGAGTGCAAAACTAGCTACCACTGAAGCAACTATAAGGTAGCATAACCTAAAAAGCAGTGATTTAGCAATGAGTAATTAAAAAATAAACTTATAAGGCTGCTTATCCTTTAGCTCAGCAAATTCACTTCTAAAATTCACACCAAGGGCATAATTGGACAAATACACAAAGATACATATTTAAGACTCATTGTGAAATTTATCAAGTAGCAAAATAATATAACCAATATAAATGCCTATTAATAAAGGACTGGCTAAATAAAATACTGCCATACCATGGAATACTAGCTTGCATTAAATATAATGATGCAGAGCTATTTTCTTTTTCATCCAAAAAAAAAAATACTTGCTTTAAAAATAATTTAGGTGCTTTTTTAATAAGCATGTATATATTACTTTTAGAATCATAAAAACAAAACTTAGTTATGTATTTTATAGTAACTAATTTTGCTGAAAATATAGGGAAGTAGATCCTTTCTAGAGTATACATTTCTTAAATCATTCTGAGGGCAAGTGATTTATATATTAAAAGCCCTAAAAATGTCCATACTTAAAAGGATAATTACCCATCTAAGATATTGTCTTCAGGAAATAATAAGAGACTTGAAAATTGCTAAGAAAGTAGATTGTATTATACTTTACTTTTTAATTAATTAATTTTATTTTATTTAAATAGATTTAGGGACTACACTTTTTATTACATGGATGAATTGTATAGCAGTGAAGTCAGGTAGCTTAATGCACCCATCATCCAAACAGTGTATATTTGTTTTGACAGGTAGTTTTGATCCCTCCTTCTCCACCCACCACCCCTCATAAGTCTTCCAAGCCCATTATAGCATTCTGTATGACCAAGTAAACCTGTTGTTTAGCTCCTACTTATAAGTGAGTACATGTGTAATTTGTTTATCCATTTCTGAGCACTTCACTCAGGATCGTGGCTTCCAGTTCCATCCAAGTTGCTGCCAAAGAAATTATTTCATTCCTTCTTATAGCTGAGTAATACTCCCTGGTTTATACTTATACCACATTTTCTTTATCTACTCATCAGTTGATGGACACTTGGTTGATTTCATATGTTTGCAATTGATTCCATATGTTGATTCCATATGTTTGCAATTGTGAATTGTGCTGTGATTAATGTATAAGTATATGTCTTTTCGATATGACTTCTTTTCCTTTGGGAAAACACCCATAGTGGGATTGCTGGATTGAAAGGTAGGTCTACTTTTAGTTAAGAGAGTAGATTTTAGATGCTCTTACCACAAAAAGAGTTACTTAATTAATTTTAAAAATACTATATGAGGTAATAGATATGTTAACTAGCTCAATTGAGTTATTTCAATATATTTACATATATATCAAAATATCATGTTGTACGTACACCACAAATATATACAATTTTTATTTTTCAATTTAAAATAATTAGATAACTAAATGCTGGCCCAAAAAAGGACATACAAGGATGTTCATTATTTTTTGAGTGAAAAAATGGAGATACTGAGCATAGCTCCAATGCAATGAATTCTTACACTATGGAGCGCTGTGCTAGACACTTTTTGGATGCAGCCAGGCAGAATGCTGCTCTGTGTGAGTCGACTTCCTTTCCGTTTCAGCTAGTCTTCCTGCTTTAGATGGGAGAGCCTGCCCTTCACCGCCAGCCTCTAAGGGCCCAGGGCCAGGGGATCAAATTCATGGGGTTTGAGATTCAACATCCTGAGTTTGAAATTCTGGGTCTGTTATTTACAGACTGTATGACTATGGGCCAGGGTCTTAACTTCTCGAAGCTTTATTTTCCTGGTCTACAAAATACGAATGTGGCACAGTACCTGTATAAATTGTCTATAAAGTTTATATGTATATATGAGTATATACTATCAATATAAGGTTTCTCGTGAAGATTAAATAAATAATTTAATTTATTGTGTAGCATTCCAGTATTCCTGATTTGAGTTCCAGGCTGCCCAACAGGTTGTTCATAGTGGATGACCCAATGAGGGCTGAGCAGTTCGGGACACAAAAATTCACTATAAGAAGGATGGCCTGTGGGTGCTTTGCTTCACACCATCCAGTGCTTATTCTCAGGGGACAGAAACGCAAAGGGCACACGGCCCCTGACTCACAGAGGCATCGGGCACTGGAGGTGCAAGGGAGATTCACAATGACCCCTTTCCTTTTTCTATTCAGCTCATGTTATATTTTACCCAGATTGGGAACAGGGCCAATTGCTTTACAAATATATATACAAATTTATCTTCCCTTTACTCAAATCAGGAATACTGGAATGCTACACAATAAATTAAATTATTTATTTAATCTTCACGAGAAACCTTATATTGATAGTATATACTCATATATACATATAAACTTTATAGACAATTTATACAGGTACTGTGCTGCATTTGTATTTTGTAGACCAGGAAAATAAAGCTTCGAGAAGTTAAGACCCTGGCCCATAGTCATACAGTCTGTAAATAACAGACCCAGAATTTCAAACTCAGGATGTTGAATCTCAAAACCCATGAATTTAATCCTAACCCCAAACTGAAAGAGCATAAAGGTCAAAAAATAGATTATTCATAATACCATTTATAAAGAAAATTTTAAAAGTTATTAACTCTTATCTAACCATTAAAGATAATTGCTTAGAAGATAATTTAATTGCATAGTGAAATGTCACAATATATAAAATAAAAAAGTGAGATCAACAGTTCTTCAAAATAAATTATGATATACATATAGTGAAAAAATGTTAGAAACATACTGTGAAGGGTGACAGTAGTGGGACTTTAGATGATTTTTTTGTATTTTTAAATTTTTACAATACCTATTAATATTCATATAACTAGAAAATAGTAATAAAAGAATTTCCCACATGTGCTGCTGTGCTATGCTGGCTACTATAAAAGTGTCAGTATGAAAAAGCTATAACGATTAAAATTTTTAAAAAAATGTTCTTCCATCCCTTTTATCAGTGCTGTGTTGTTCTTTCTTCCTTTAGCTGAGAAGAAAAAATTTTTGGAGGACTCTTTCCTCCTTCCTTCCTTTCTTGCTTTGTCACTCTCCTTTGTGTGTGTATGTTATTCCTGACTATGAAAATATTAGATTTTCATTGCAGAAAATGTAGAAAGTGCTGAACATGATATATTACAGAAAATCCTAATCACTTACCATTGTCACTCCAAAACGATGATGGTTAGCATTTAACATAGAGTTCCGGATTCCTTATTCTCTCTTTTCCTTTTTTTCTCATCTTTCAATACTTTTTTTATAATCAGTTCTTTGTTAATCCCTTGGAAAAAGAAAAGCCACTACAGAATACATCTACCAATCTCTGGCCTCACCAACAATCCCCTGATATACTCAGGCAGGATCTTGTGGGGACAGAGATGGTTTCCGTTGTTCGAAAACATTCATTGCCTGCCCCAACCACAGCCTCCATGGTAGTAGGGACTTCCAGCTCTAGACCTGGAATGCAGCTCGTGCTTTGCTTTGGCCAATGAGATGTCAGCAGATGTGATGCAATGGAAAGCTCACAATGCTCTGGCATGGTGGGCTTGTCCTCTCTCATTTGTGCCATTTCCATGACAAAAATCATCTCCCAGTGGCTGCTGGTCCTTCTGCCTGGGCCCAGAATAAAGCAGAAATAAATATCCCAGGCTACCTGCACACCTGAGGCAAGAAGATTTACCCCAGCAGACTGCACCTGAGAGAAAGAGTAATTGCTGTTCTGAACCACTAAGCAGCAGTAAACAGGCCCCACACCCAGGAACGTGCCTCGAGGCTGGGTGCCCACACAGGTGCAGACAAAGTCTCTACTGGTGGGTCTCTTTACATCAAGAAGGAAACTTTTCTAGGCCGGGCACTGTGGCTCACGCCTGTAATCCTAGCTCTTGGGAGGCCGAGGCGGGCGGATTGCTCAAGGTCAGGAGTTCAAAACCAGCCTGAGCAAGAGCGAGACCCCGTCTCTACTATAAATAGAAAGAAATTAATTGGCCAACTGATATATATATTAAAAAATTAGCCGGGCATGGTGGCGCATGCCTGTAGTCCCAGCTACTCGGGAGGCTGAGGCAGGAGGATCGCTTGAGCCCAGGAGTTTGAGGTTGCTGTGAGCTAGGCTGACGCCACGGCACTCACTCTAGCCTGGACAACAAAGTGAGACTCTGTCTCAAAAAAAAAAAAAAGAAGGAAACTTTTCTCTTTTAAAGTCTCCTTGACTGTTTTTGGATGGTTAGTTCTCATCTCACTAGATGTGTAGCTGCCGGCTGCCAGGCTGGGCCAGTTAGTGATATTTTCTCTCACCAATCACATGTCTCTAACTTCTCTTATTGTTAGTTCTTTTGACTTGGCTTTCCTCGGGTCATTTATCCCCTGTACTGAGACGGTTTGTAATGCATCTTCATCTTTCACTCTGTTTTGATTTATTGTATCCCATCGTGTCCATACGAAGAAGCTGGAGCCTGAACTCCAACAGGCAAGGCAGATGTGAAGGAAGAGTAGGGCAGAGACGGTGAGGCTGGAAGGAAAAGGAGTGCTGGGAATGTACACAGTGGAGAGGAAAGCAGCGAACCCCCCGTGCTGGTGGGGTGGCAGGAACCCAGACGGGCACAGGCTGGGCTCTGGGCATCTCACCAGAGGGCCCAGCCTCCCGCAGACTCCCAACCTTCCCAATCCCCTGCAAAAACATCTGGCATTTCTCCATCTTCCCAGACTGATTTCTCTCTTCTGTTGGTTAGTGCACCCCAATCCCATTTAAGGAAACTATTCCCCTTCTCCACTGCATGTAAACTTGACAAGGCTAAGCCAGGCAACTCTAGTCTCCTCTTAATAAGCTCTGAGCACGTGACCCAAACTTGGACACTCAAACTCTATCACTTAAGACTTTCAATTTTGTTCTCAGTGATCCCCAGAAGAAAAACAATCAATATATTTACCCTAGAGTATTGAGAAATTGCCTATCTATTTATTCCCATTTTCTAAATTTCAGCGCTGCTTAGGCCTTTGTCCTTCCAAAAGACAGTTTCAGGTTTTCTCTTCAATTAAGTCTATTCTACTTGATTATCTGGTCCTTATTGTTAGTCTTTCAGTTTCTGGTATTTTCCAGCAAAGAACTTTAACCAATATAGCACAGATTTGCAAAAGGCTTAGCTTGATTCTTAAGCTGAAATTGCTTTAATGGCGTTTTGCTTTCATTTTTTTTAAATTTCTACCATAAAAAAAGCTCTATCCTGTGTTTTAATGGACATATATTCTTATAGCAAACATTTTGAATGATTCATAAAAAGTAAAAACGAAAATAAATTCTCCTGAAATCCCATCTGAGATCATGGGCACCCCTGACATTTCTTTGGCCATCGCTCCACGTGTCTCCTTACAGAATTCTGTGTAATTTAATGGGATTGTGTCATATGTGCTGTTTCTATGGTGACCAACATTTTGGTGTAATGTAGTCTTTTTGTTTGTTTGTTTTTGTTCATCTACCACTGTCAGTAGAACCCTATTGATATCTTTCCATAGCTTTCCCTCTACTTCTATAATCATATACAAATATATTGTATATACAGCAACATACAGATAATTTTCTGTTGTTTTATAAAAAATGGGATCATATTACTGCATTTTGCTTCCTCATATCACCACTTATAGTTGAACTCTATCCAAGTTAACTTATTTCCACAGGCAGTTATCATTCAGTTTTGTGGATAAGTCAATGTTTATTCAACCATTCTCACATAAAGAGGTATTTTTTTCAGTTGTTGTTTGGTCACTAACCTAACAAAGCAAAACACATTGCTATGAAGATTAGGAGCAAATGATTAAAAATACTTTTATTGATAATTTGATTTCATGTTTGTGAAGCACAAGATTCTAGTAAAACACTAACAAAATTAGTAAGGGTATTTGATAAAGTGACTGGATACAAGGTAGATATAGAGAACCAATAGCATGTATATAAGACATAAATGGAGAAAATAATAATCAATTCATGATAGAAACTAAATGAAATAGATTTCTTGGGAATACATTTAACAAGAAAAAGTATTCAACCTATTAAAGGAAAACTATTAGATCTTAAATAACATAAAATAGGAAGAAATGGAACCAGCACAACCCCATCATTAATATAAAATGCATAAATACATTTAACTTGATTCCAACTAAAACTCCAATTTTGTGGTTGTTCCTTTGAAATGAGATAAAATGATCTTTCAGAATATATGAAATAGTCCAATAGTATTCAAGAAAATGCATAAAGCAGATGGAGGAGAGGGACCCTGCCCAGCAGATGCTGAAGAGGCATTATAAATCACTGCGCAGAAAGGAGGACGATTTTCTCATCATTTTGTCTAATTCCTCCAGTAAGTAAAACTAAAAGTTCTGGGCATTAAATAAACATAAGAAGACTCTGAAAGTTGGAGAAATGAAGGCAGGCGGGCCTGGGACCTCAGGGACCCAAAGAAAAACATGGGGTGAGTTCCCTGGGTTTTCATTTTGCTTCATAGTCCCCAGATTGAGGTGTTGAAGTTGAGGAGGCCAGCAACCCAGAAATTCCAATGGGCACAGACAAAAAACATGCCCCAACAAAAATCTGCTCTCTCTAGTGAAAGGACCAGGAAAAAGGACACCTAGAAAAACAGAAAAAGATTAGGCAGTAAGTGCTTCTACTCCCACCAAACACCACAGAAAAACCGTAGCCTCATCCCACCCCCTGCCAGGAACGGCCACGTAGACAGCCCAGATTGCCACACTGCCAGGCTGCATGGAGCGTCCCCAACACCACCTCCCACGCCCACAACCTCCCCAAACACACTGCCATGGGTATCAGAAAAGGCTGAGCAGGGAGCCAGGGCACTCATCCGTGCTGGGTGGTAATGACCACCCCGTACTCCATGGCACTATGACACCCACGTGGGAAGCCTGGACTGCTCTTCCCAACCAGCTATTAATAAAGAGGTGCCCTCCCAATTCCCACTGGAGGCCTAGTGGAGAGGCAGAACTTTTATTACTCCTAAGTGGTATCCAGGCCTCCTCCTTGCAGTGTCAGTGGAGGCCATGCAGGGGGCATTAAGGAGACACTGTCATTCCTCCCCATGGGGGTGTATGACCCAAGAGTAGTGAGGAGCCATGTCAGAGCCCCAGCCTCACACAGCGGCAACACAGAGCCCAGCCTAACTTGGGTGCTCATAGAGGCTGGGTGGGGAACTTGTACTTCTACCCCAACGTGGTAGAAACCACACCATGCACCCCTTTCCCCTTCCTCAGAGCAGCGTCAGACAAAGCCAACTAAAAGGAGGAGGTTTAAGCAAGATCCGGATGCTTATACCATAATACCCCAAATGTCCAGTTTTCAATCAAAAATTGCTTGTCATACCAAGAGCCAGGAAAACTCAACTTGGATGAAGATAGGCAATCACTTAATGCCAACACCAAGACAGGCAGATATTAGAATCACCTGACAACGGCTGTGAAACAGCCATCATCATGGAAATGCTTCATGCAATTATAAACTGGCTTGAAAAAAAAAAAATAAAATAAAAAAATAAAAGCCAGAAAGTCTCAGCAAAGAAAGAGAAGACATAAGGAGTCACCAAGTAGATCAAGTAGAAATTTTAGAACAAAAAAATACAATAATCAAAATTAAAAAGTTGATTGATGAACTCAACAGCGGAATAAAGAAGGAATCAGTGAACTGGATAGAAATTACACAATCTTAACAATAGGGAAAAAATAGAGAGAAAAAGGAAAATGAACAGAGCCTCAGGGAGCTGAGGGACTATAACAAAAGATCTAAATGTTTTGTCATCATAGTCCCAGAAGAAGAGAGAAAGAGGGCAGGGTTGAAAAAACAAACAAACAAACAAAATAAAACTTGAAAATATAATGACTGAAAAATTCTTAAATCTGACAAAAATACATAAATCTATGTATTTAAGAAGGTGAGAAAATCCCAAATAAGATAAATTCAAAAATTTATACCAAGATAAATCATAATCAAATGTCTTAAAACTAAAGTCAAAGAAAAAACCTTGAAAACAAAGAATATATAGCACCTGATCTATAGGAGAAAAACAATTCAAACACATGAATTTATTGTCAGAAACCATGCAGGCCAGAAGGAAGTGGCAAAACATTTTTCAAATGCATAAAGAAAAGAACAATCAAACCAGAGTCCTGCACCCATTGAAAATGTCCCTCTGGAATGAAGAGGAGAAATAAGGACAGACTCTGATGAAGGAAAACAAGAGAATTTGTCACCAGCAGATCTGCCCAATAGAATGGCTAAACAAAATTCGTTAAGCAGAAAGGAAATGATAAAAGAGAGAATATTGGAAGATAAAAAAGAAGACAGAATATGGTAAGTAAAAAGTATGAATAAATATAATAAACCTTCCTTCCCTGTTGAGTTTTCTAAGCTATGTTTGACAATGGAAGCAAAACTCCTTACACTCTAAGCTGTG